TTGCAGTTGAAGTTTCCTAGAAAGAATGTCCTTCTTATAAAACTTTGAAAATGAATTTTAAAATGTAGATTAATGTGCATTTCTTTTTTTCCTGAAGAAATTCTGTTTGCCTGAAGAGGTAAAATACGTTTTCACATAAAATTCATATGACATTTAACCTGATCAATTGAGCAAGTTTGTTGATGCTTAGAGCTGTGAACGAAGTTATCATGTGTTTGTCTTCAGGGCAAGTAGTTTTTTTTAACTGAGGTATAATCGACATCCACCATCATATTAGTTTCAGGTGCACAACAGTGATTTGATATTTGTGTATATTGCAAAATGATCAGTAACACTAAGTCTGGTTAACATCTGTCACCATACATACAGAATTTTTTTTTTAAGATCTGCTTTCGTAGCAACTTTCAAACATGCAATACAGTAGTATTAACTTCTCCATGCTGTACATTACATCCCCATAGTAATAAGACTTATTTTACAACTGGAAGTTTGTACCTTTTGACTTGCTTTACCCATTTGACCCACCCCCTATCCTGCCTCTGGTAACTGTCAATCTGTTCTGTGAGTTTGCTTTCAGTCTTGAACATGTCAGTGTTTCTGTGCTTTTTCTATTGAATTCAAAGTCATATATGCCATCTCTTTTATTTCAGTGCTTTAGGAATTAACATCAACAGTTTCATGTGAAAAATATCGGTGATTGTTTCCACTGAAACGAAGGCATATATCCATGGTTAGAAGAGTAGTATATTTCAGGACTTGATAGGGTTATTAGTAGACTGGACTTAAACCTTCTAGTTTCAACATTGTGAGATACCTATTAAGATGGAATCTTTGAATTCATATTCATTTCAGTTTATCAAAACAATTTATAGTAATGTAGTTTTTTTATTATTAAAACACACATACAAGTGAGTTTTTATAACTCAGTTGTATGTGTGTTTTAAAATTTAATTAATAAAATATGGTAGGTGTACTAACTGGTGAAGACAGCATGGAATATTCACATAACAAGAAGGAAGTCATCGCATGGTGATTTTTAGGCTCTTATCTGGAGTCAAAAGAGGAGTTAAATTTTGTGAATTTGAGGTAATGGTGATCTCTGGAGGTGATAGGTCTTCTCCATATCAGGGTTCAGAGGACGAGTTCCTTATCAGATGACTTTGAACTTTCTTCATTTGGAATTGTCTGTAATGTAAGGACTTGAACTTGATCACCCCCAAGGGTCCCTTCTGTCTCTGGATTTGTTGATACCAGGCAGGGGCGGGGGTGGGGGGCGATCCTATGTGTATTATATGTTACTCTTATATTTACTTGTCGGCAGTTCAAACTCCAAAGTTTTACAGAGTCCGGCCATGTTCCTTAAAGTTCAATTTATGCTTTAAAAGCGGGTAGCACTTTGATAAATAAGTGTCTTCTTACTTGCCACTTTTCCTCTCTTAAATTCCAAGAATTATCCATGAACCACCTGGTGCTGGTTGACAAGCTCTGAAGGTGTTGGGAGCATTATTAAGGTTACTTTGCTAACTACAGGTCAAATTAACCAGTGTGACTTATATTCATTTGAATCACTTAACACCCTATGACATACAGTAGGCATTTAATAGCAGGAAGTGGGCAGGTGAGATCTCCTAACCCTGTTTTTTTTTAATTTTTATATAAATTTATTTATTTATTTATTTTTGGGTGGTTTGGGTTTCTGTTGTTGGGAGCGGGCTTTCTCTAGTTGCGGTGAGCGGGAGCTACTCTTCGTTGGGGTGGGTAGGTTTCTCATTGTGGTGGCTTCTCTTTTTGCGGAGCACGGGCTCTAGGCACGTGGGCTTAAGTAGTTGTGGCTCGCGGGCTCTAGAGCGCAGGCTCAGTCAGTAGTTGTGATGCACGGGCTTAGTTGCTCCACGGCATGTGGGATCTTCAGGGACCAGGGCTCAAACCCGTGTCCCCTGCATTGGCAGGAGGGTTCTTTTTTTTTTTTTTTTTTTTTTTTTTGGTTTTTTGGCCTCGAGGCATGTGGGATCTTAGCTCCCTGACCAGGGGTCGAACCCGCACCCCCTGCATTGGAAGGCAGAGGCTTAACCACTGGACCGCCAGGGAAGTTCCCTGGCAGGAGGGTTCTTAACCACTGCACCACTAGGGAAGCCCACATCTCCTAACCCTGTTTAATAATAGTATTCTTTGCTTTTTAAAGTGAAAGGAACAGTATCATGCTATTCTCTTGTGTCCATACTGTTTAGCGTCCAAGCAAGATGGCATTGAGATGGTGTTTGCAGTAGTAAAACTTCTTGGATGAATTCTGAAATAGATTGGTCTTTTTATTTAGTTCTTGAATGGGATACAATTGTTCTTTAGATCAGGACAACCAGGAGAGCCCTTTCAAAATGTATGTCCAATTTCTGCACCCACAGAATCAGAATCTCTGAGGGCAGAGGTCAGGCATTCATTTTTTGACAAAGCTTCTCAGGTGATTGTGATGCTAACCCTTAATTAAGAACACTGTGTTTTCTTTGTAGCAAAATTCACCTTTTTTTTTTTTTTTTGCCGTACGCGGGCCCCTCACTGTTGTGGCCTCTCCCGTTGCGGAGCACAGGCTCCAGACGCGCAGGCTCAGCGGCCGTGGCTCACGGGCCCAGCCGCTCCGCGGCATGTGGAATCTTCCCGGACCGGGGCACTAACCCGTGTCCCCTGCATCGGCAGGCGGACTCTGAACCAGTGCGCCTCCAAGGAAGCCCCAAAATTCACTTTTGAAACAATATTGCTAGAAGTTCAAGACTCATGTTGACGCGTGGGTTTTATGGCAGTTTCTGCCAACGTAATTTTATCACAAGTATTTTTTTATTCTGAATAAATGTTTATAGTAATAGTAATAGTTGGTGTGTACTGAGCCCTTGCAATGTGATAGGCAGTGTGTTAAGTGGTTTGTATGGATCTTCTCATTTAATGCTCACAGCTACTCTATAGGATAAGTTCTTTATCCCCATTCGATAGACTGAAGCACAGAGGACTTTATGTACGTGGTCATACATTTTGTTGGTATTGGAGTTAAGATTTGAACTCAGTGAGAGGCCGTTTAACTCCAGAGCCCAGCATTTGTAATCCAGTGACCTACCTTACTGCTTTCAAAGGATAAGTAACAAAAATGACTCCTTTCATTTCAGACTTCAGACCCCCAGTCCTCTTTCTCAAAGCTAGTCAGTACCATCTGCAGGGGATACGTTTCAAACTCCCCAGTGATGCCTGAAACTGTGGATAATACCAAATCCTGTATATACTATGTTTTTTCATATACTAATTGGTGGGGAGCATATATAGTAGATACATTGGGCAGAGGGATGATTCACATCCTGAGCGGGACAGAGAGGGATGGTGTGAGATTTCACCAGCTACAAGGAATGTTGTACTATTTAAAACTTATGAATTATTTATTTTTGGAATTTTCAATTTAATATTTTTGTACCAGGGTTGATCAGGTCGGTAACTGAAACCATGGAAAGCGAAACTGGTGATAAGGCGCGTGGGGGGCGGGTTGTTAACAGTGTCTGTTGTATGAATTTATTGCCACCAACTTTTAACGAGCAAATACTATGTAAAGATACATATGTAAACCTTTTAAATATATGTACACATAGATGGGAATTATACTGTTTTTCCCCAAGCATATCTTGGAGAGATCTTTCTTTCCATCAGTACATGTAAACTGAACCTTCCTCTTTCTCTTTTAATGTTTATATAGTATTTCCTCTTGTTTCTTTCTAAAATTGAGAGTAATTAGTAATTTGAACTTTCTGACTGAAGTTTATTTGGTATATTAATTGGCGATGTGGGCATGTGTGACAGAAAGAAACAGTCCTTTTCTACTGAATTGGGTCAACATGTAACTCAAAAGAAAACCCAGTTTCCTGTTACATTGCATGGAATCTCTTAAAATCCAGTAATAGACTTAGTTATGGTTAATTTACATTCTTTTTGGCACAAGTTTCTGTAATGTCATATGATCGTTCCTTCTGTTCCCTCCCCAATCAATAGAAGTAATTAAAGAACTCTACCTGGAATTTGACTGGAGGCTTAAGAAAAATTGTGTCAGATTTGATTTATAAAAATCGCAATTCTTTCTTTCTGTGATAGTAATATTGACCTGTTTTGTCAGTTAAACTCATTTTCTTTGAGTGTCAGCATTTTTTCCTGTATAACAATTTCTTACAGAAAGATAAAAAGTTCAAATTAATTAATAACTGTGTTTTGAACTAAATTGTTAAGCTTATGAATGGTGTTCACAATTTCTTGTTGCTAACATCTCCATGAGGTAGATAATATACTGATTTTACAGAAGAGGTAAACAAAATCTAGAGGTCAGGTTTCTTGTCCAGAGTCACAGCCAGCACAGCTGATGTTGAAATCCAGGAGATCTAGGACCATTTCTCAATTTACTGTGCTTGAGCTGCTTTTTCCTTGTTTCTCCATTAAGATATTATAGTTTTACCATTTCCTTTGTTTTCATTATTTCATTTGTTCACAGCAGTGCTGTGAAGTAAGCATGGTATATGTTGCTTGTTACTTTTATTCTGTGCCTGAGGAATCTGAGGCTAGAGGTATGGTTTGTACAAAGGCAGACTCCTTTAGTTACCCGTTCTATCACAGGACTTGAGCCAAGGTGTTCTGACTTTAGGTGCAATGCCCTTTACCATGTAGTACTAGATGTGGAAACAGATTTCTACTTGTGCTCTGTTTTTTTGAATTGGGGATTTCTTGGGCGTTCCATGAGAAATCTAAATTAATTCTATGTGTGGGATTCTGGACCTCATGCCTTGAACTTGATATATTCCTGACACTTTATAACACATTAATCAGCCAGACTTCAGAGTTTAATAAGACACTGCAGCATTGGTGAAGGCTGTACAATCAAATTGTTTATATAACATTTCCCCTTCATCTTTGGTGCCCCTCATTTGTTTCTGGTGTTGTACTATATATAGTTGACATTTTATTGTTTCTCCTTTTTTTCCCCCTTTTAGTGAATGGTAGTGTCTAGAAAGGGTATGTCCCTTCAAGAGAGAGGTGCCAATGTCCAACCGGCCTAATAACAATCCAGGGGGGTCACTGCGACGTTCACAGAGGAACACTGCCGGGGCCCAACCACAAGACGACTCGATAGGAGGAAGGTTTGTATTTAATAGTAATTAAATGGTAATTTAAATGGTAATTTCAACCCTTTGTGATCTCTTCCTTTATGTATGTTGTGACTTGATTTATTTACCTTATTGAAAGGAAGCTTCTTTGTTTTAAGATCTTGAGTTTTGATAGCTAGCTTTTTGAGTTTTTTCCCGTCTTACTTTTTGACAACACATGGACACTGACAGGCTGGCAAGTCTGTCTGACTTGTGTTAGCGCATCAATTCTCAGCGTGTGGTGTTGAGCTGATCTTTTTAGTTGGAGTCGTTGTATAGGAGGTAATGTGAATAATCGATACATTCTCTTAAATGCAAGATTTCGTGTCTGATTTAGCTAAGAGCTGTCATTTTATGCATAAAATACTCGGAGTTACTTGAGCCTAATTTTCAGTCCATGGACTAATCATGGTTAGATTATAATAGATTATGGCTAAACTCTAATAAGATTACCTGATGTAACATTTTGAGATATTACCAAGTATATTGTCTACTAAATTATTAAAAAAATGGTAAATGTCAAATGTAAAGAAGATATTGAAATACTTCTTGTTCATGTCAGGTGATTTAATTGGTTAAACGTTTGGACTTTGGACTAGGACAGCTTCGTGTGCAATTTCTGCCTTTGCCTTTAAATAGCTATGTGTCCTTTATTATATCTTTCAGGAAACCTCAATTTTTTAGTCCACACAGTGGGGGTATCTGTTTCATAGGGTTACTAGTTAACTTCAGTATTGTTAACATGTTAAACTGAGAGCAGTGCTTAGTACAGAGTTCTGTTCTAGATTTTTTTGCTTTTTTACGTTTAGATTGTTCTTTGGGAGCAGCCACACTTAACTTTATTTATGCTGTTGATTAGAAAAATCACTCCCGCATTATAAAAATGTTACATATTTTACAGAATTTGGAAAATATAGAAAAGTATGAAGAAAAACATCACAGTTTCACAGTCCACTTGTAGTCACTGTTAACACTGGCCTATTCCTCCTTAGTTGCTCTTTTTTTTTAAGGCATGTATGTGTGTATACATGTGCACGCATGTGCACCTAAGTTACGCACACCTTTCGAACAATTACAGTTTCGTACATATTAATCCTCAGGTTATATTTAGACCCTTGCATATGATCGACAAACATTTTGCAGTGTCACACAGTATATTACTTCTAAATCCACAGTGACGTTTTAGCACCATTATCTTTTCTACACATCAGTGATAATGTAAAATTATTTAAAAGTTTTATTATATTATGTATTTAACAATATGAGTGGAAAACAAATGGACATGGTTAATACTAGTTATTAAAATGCATTGGCTTAAAAGTTGTAATCAGGATGGAACTCAGTCAGTTTTGTAGAATGGCAGATGTTTCCCTGAAGTTCATGGGCTTTAAGACAATCGATGATATGCTCAATTGTGAAGGAAAATAATAAAATTTCAAAGCATGTTTCGAATGGAGAAACACGCCAAAGAATATAAAGCAAGGTATAATTAGGGTTTTTATAGCTTTAATCTCTCCTCCCTTTCAGTAATGTGGCCCCATTTCAGCTCTCATGATTTCAACTTTTACATGTCTTTAAAAAACATTTCCCCACAAAAGTAGTACAGAAAAGAGGGCCTATTCACTTTTTTAAAACCTAGTATCATATGTGTTGTTTCCTGTGTCTTTAAAAATTGTTTAAAAACAGGACTTTTAAAGTCTTCATGTTCAGTTGTGTGTGGTTAATACCATAATTTAGTAATAACTTTGAATATATAGATTTTCCCTATTTTTATGTGGATAAGTATAATTATGATCAGGGCATAGAAATTTAGAACTTTAGCCAAAAAGTCTTATCAGTTTGGCTAAGAATGCAAATTAGAAGATATTTGCACATCTGAATTTCATTTTGCCATTTTAGACAGCTTGATTCTTTTGTTTGTGATACAGTCTCAGAGCTGGAAGGGACCTTTTCATCAAACCCCAGACTGATTTTTGAAGCCCCAGTAGAGTGTGCTATGCTAACAATTATCTAACCTCTGAGAAACCTCTGCAGTCACTTTGGGGAGTGAGTGGATTGGGGTTAATTGGGAGACAGCAATTACATCTGTATTTTTATTCTTTTAATCTAACTTCTGTTGCTTAGCTTTCCTATAAGTAAAGCGCTATTATTGTGGCTTTTGTTTCCAAAAAATAGTGGCTTTGGTCTTGTGAATGTATTCATAGTGATACAGTGATTCAAACAGTGGTAATAAATAACAACACCTACTACAGCAGCACTGGTGGAGTATTTTTAGTTAAGCCATTTTTTATACATATTTTTTCAATTTGAGACTCACAGAAACCCTGTGTGCTAAGTATGTAGCCCCTGTTTTCTAAATGTGGTAGCTTGCTCAGCTTTACATGGCTGGTATGTAGAGTCAGGACTTGATTCCTGACCTCTTCACTTGCAAGTCGGTGATTCCTTCCATTGTGCCAAACTGTTTTTACTGCACAAACCACTTGATCCAAATGATGAAGAAGGACTTAGAGGAGGGTATGAAGTACTTAAACTCATTCAGTTTAGAATTTAAGGAGCAGTTTTTCCCTCCTAGAATTTTTTAATTCATCCATTTTTGATTCACTCTGTTTCCTCCCGAACTTGCATTAAGTTGTCTTCTATGTGTAGCTTCCTTCCTGTGACCACTCCTGCCCTTTTCCTAAATCAAGCTCACTTACTTTTTGTTTTTTCAAAAGAAGAAAAGTTTTAGTTCACCCTTAAGATAAAAGAAAGTTGGATATTTGGGATATATTTATTTTCTCCTTATTATTCCCTCTATTCTTTTTCGCCCATCCTTCATCTCTGTCCATAATTGAGCTAGATTATCTTCCTCCTCATCTATTGTTTTTCTCTTTTCCTTTCTTCCATAATTTTTTGGGCTATCGTTGCTTTGTTCCTCTCTTTTCTGTCCTCTTTTTCTTCTTTAGGAAATCACTCACCTCCACTGCTTGTCTGTGGGCTTGCTCTCAGGGATACTACCTAGTCTTTCTCACTTCTAGCACAGGTATTTGTAGGCTCTCCCTCCCTCTTGGCCATGCAGTAGCATTTTCATTGTATCATGTGCTTTTTCTTGTTTTTCTCAAATGTCAGCGGTGGCATTGAATTCAATTTTATAGCAACTTTGGTTGAGATTGCTGTAGTGAAGGTTTCTTCTACATTGTTTTTGTTATAAAAACACAGCATGTTGAGAAAAGAAAATTGGGATGCTTCAGGAAAATAAAAGAATTAAGATAAATTCAATCCATCCACCGAAAGATAATGATGGTTAGTATTTCTACTCCATGATTTTCTTTGATATGAAAGCCCATGATATAAATTAGGGCCTCTAGTCCCATTCTCCCCCCACCCCAGTTTTTTTCTGTAAAATATGTTACTGCTGTGCCTATCACATTTGAGTATTATTCTGATTTTATCAAGTCAAATTCCTGAAATGGGTTCATAGGACCTAAAGGATATGAATATTTTGAAGACTTTTAACAGAATGCTAAATTATGTTTCAGAAAGATTGAACCACTTTATCTTTTTTCCGTTTTTGATTAAACCAATTTATACTCCTACTAATACTTTGTGAGAATGCCTATTTCGCCAAATCCTAGTCAGTACAGCACACCATTTTTTTTTTTTTTTTTTTGCGGTACGGGGACCTCTGACTGTTGTGGACTCTCCCATTGCAGAGTACAGGCTCCGGACGTGCAGGCTCAGCAGCCATGGCTCACGGGCCCAACCGCTCCGCCACATGTGGGATTTTCCCGGACCGGGGCACGAGCCTGTGTCCCCTGCATCGGGAGGTGGACTCTCAACCACTGCGCCACCAGGGAAGCCCCAGCACACCATTTTTAATCAGAGTTGTGGAAAAAAGGGTTCCTTTGGTTAAAGTTACCATTTCTTTGGTTACTTTAGAGTTGAAGATCTTCCCCACATATTGGCCATTTTTATTATTTTATGAGTTGTCTGTTAGTGTCCTTTGTTTTAATTTTTGAGATGCTTGCTCTTTTATTAGAACCCTTTATGGGAAGGGTATCAACCTACTGACATGGGCGAGTATTTTTTGCTAGTTTTATTACTTGTTCTGGTTTGTTTTACTTTATAGTAGATTTTAAATTTAGATAGTCAAGTCTATCAGCTCTTTGTTTCTTTTCTTCCTTTGCCTTCTGCATACCCAGAATAAAATTTTCTTCTCAGTTCTGTTATGGTTCCATTTTTACATTTTATTGTAATCTGTCAATGTTTTTTTAATGGCATGAGGAAATGCTTGAATCCAGTCCACCCCACCTTCTCACCCCCAGTACAAAATTTGTCTGCAAAGTTTTGATAATTATTACTGAGTAATAAAATTTTATGAGATCTGAAGGTTATAGCTTTCTGTTAACATTGTCAAAGCAGGGATTTTTTAAGCCAGCATTAATTATACAGGAAGAAATAGATTTGTATTTTGCTTAAAAAACTATTTCAAAAGGATGGGATACAGAAAACCACAGAAAGAAAATATCATCCCGAGATTGTCTGTGTTAATATTTTGATTTTTATCTGTCTTTATTTATCTGTTATTTTTTGGGAGGGGGGAGGATCTGAGTTCCCTGACCGGTGATTGAACCCATGCCCCCTGCAGGGAAGTCCCTATCTGTCTTTAAAATACAATTTAGCATGTAGCTGATTACAGTGTAAATATTTTTGGATCCTACTTTCTTCACTCAGTATCCTAACAAACATCTTCTCTTATCATTATGATTCTTTTGGTAATTGTTTACAGATGGTCACATGATTTGCTGAATCAGTGCGCAACATTTTCCACTATTAATTTTCATTTTTTGGATAGTTAGATGGTTGCAGTGGGAAAAGTTTTCGCTTATGCTTAAATGTTTGCAATTTTGGCATCTCTTAAGAGATATGTTCCCAGAAGTGAAATTGCTTGGTCAAAGCGATTTTTTTATGGTCAACTTATTTCACATAAATTTTTTTCTCCAATTTACTTACCA